CCGACTTTCAAATCACCATCATTGGCCACAGGCAAGGCGGCTCCTGGGACTCAGGGTGTTGCCTTGCCTGCTGACTTACTTTCTGATCTTGATCACGATCACAGGCCGCAGGCAAGGCGGCCCCTGATCCCAGGTTGCAGACTTGCCTGTGGTCTGGCTTTCAAATCACGATCATGGCCCATAGGCAAGGGGGCTCCTGGGACCCGGGGTGTCACCTGCCTGTGATCCGGTTTCCGATCTCAATCACGGGACACAGGCAAGGCGGACCCTTTGTCCCGGGGTGCCACCTTGCCTGTGGTCCGGCTTCATATCACAATCATCGGCCACAGGTAAGGCGGCTCCTGGGACTCGAGGTGCCACCTTGCCTGTGGTCCCGCTTTCGGATCTCAATCAAGGGAAGCAGGCAAGGCGGCTCCTGGGTCCCGGGGTGCCACCTTGTCTTTGGTCCGACTTTCAAGTCAAGATCATGGGCCACAGGCAAGGCGGCTCCTGGGACCCGGGTTGCCTGCGTCCGGGCTTTCGGATTACAATAATCATCATGGGCCAGAAGCAAGCTGGCTCCTGTTTCCAGTGGTGCCACCTTGCCTGTGGTCCGGCTTGCGGATCTCAATCACGAGCCACAGGTAAGGAGGCGACTGGGACCCAGACTGCTGCCTTGCCTGCAGCCTTAATTTCTGAGTACTATCAAGATCACGATCATGATCACGGCTGCAGGCAAGGCACATCCTGGGTCCCTGGGTGCCAACTTGCTTGTGGTCCTGCTTTCTGATCTCAATATCGGGCTGCAGGCACGGTGGCTCCTGGGTCCTGGGGTGCCGCCTTGCCTGAAGCCCGGATTCTATATCACAATATTGGGCCATAGGCAAGGCGGCTCCTGGGAACAGAGGCGCCGCCTTGACTGCGGCCTGGCTTTCAAATCACTATCACAGGCTGCAGGCAAGGCAGCTCCTGGGTTCCGGGGTTTCGCCTTGCCTGTGGTCCGGCATTCCAATCTCAATCATGGGCCGCAGGCAAGGCGGCTCCTGGGACCTGGGGAGCCACCATGCCTGAGTCCAGGCTTTCAAATCACGATCATCAAGGTCCAGAGGGAAGGCGGCTCCTAGGTCCCCGGGTGCTCCTTGCCTGTGGTCGGCCCTCTGATCATGATCAGGATCATGAGTCCCCTTGTGTCCTGGTGTGCCGCCTTGCCTGTGGTCATGCTTTCAGATCGCAATCACGATCATGGTCACGATCAAGATCACAGCTGCAGGCAAGGCCGCTCCTGGGTCCTGGGGTGCCGCCTTGCCTGAAGCCCGGCTTCTAAATCACAATCTTGGGCCACAGGCAAGGCAGCTCCTAGGACCCGAGGTGCCGCCTTGACTGCGGCCCGGCTTTCAAATCATGATCATGGGCCACAGGCAAGGCGACTCCTGGGACCCATCGTGCTGCCTGGCCTTGGGCTCAGCTTTCTGATCATGATCATGATCCTGGGTCACCGGCAAGATTGCTGATTGTTCCTGAGGTGCCTCCTTGCCTGTGGTCCTGCTTTCAGATCTCAATCAGGGGCTGCAGGCACAGCGGATCCTGGGTGCTTGGATGCCGCCTTGTCTTAATCCCGGCTTCTAAATCACAATCATGGGCCACAGGCAAGGCGGCTCCTGGGTCCCGTTGTGCAACCGTGCCTGAGGACAGCCCTCTGAACATGATCATGCTCACGGGTCCACTTGTGTATCCGGAGTGCTGCCTTGCCTGTGGTCCTGCTTTTAAATCTCGATCAGGATCACGATTACAGTTGCAGGCAAGGGGTACCGGAGTGCCGCCTTTTCTGTGGTCTGACTTTCAAATTATGATCATGGGCCACAGGCAAGGCGGCTCCTGGAAACCGGGGTGCCACCTTGCCTGTGGTCTGTCTTTCCGATCTCAATCACGGGACGCAGGTGAGGTGGCTCCTGGGACCCAGGGTGCTGCCTTGCCTGCGGCCTTAATTTCCGAGTACTATCACGATCAGGATCACGATCCTGGCTGCAGGCAAGGCAGCTCCTGGGTCCAGGGGTGCCGCCTTGTCTGTGGTCCAGCTTTCAAATCACGATCATGGGCCACAGGCAAGGAGGCTCCTGGCACCCGGGGTGCCTGCATCCCTACTTTCCGATTACAGTCATCATCATGGGCCACAATCAAGCTGGCTCCTGTGTCCAGGGGTGCCACCTTGCCTGTGTCCTGCTTTCTGATCTCAATCACGAGCCGCAGGTAAGACGGCTCCTGGGACCCAGACTGCTGCCTTGCCTGCGGCCTTAATTTCCGAGTACTATCACGATCATGATCATGATCAGGCTGCAGGCAAGGCACCTCCTGTTTCCCTGGGTGCCACATTGCCTGTGGTCCTGCTTTCCAATCTCAATCACGGGCCATAGGCACAGCAGCTCCTTGGTCCTGGGGTGCCCCCTTGTCTGAAGCCCGGCTTCTAAATCGCAATCATGGGCCACAGGAGTGGCGGCTCCTGGGACCCGGGGTGCCACCATGCCTGAGTCCAGGCTTTCAAATCACGATCATGATTAAGGTCAAGAGGCAAGGCGGCTCCTGGGTCCCGGTGTGCGTAGTGCCTGAGGTTGGCCCTCTGATCATGATCAGGATCACGGGTTCCCTTGTGTCCTGGGGTGCCGCCTTGCCTGTGGTTCTGCTTTCCGATCTCAATCTCAGTCCGCAGGCACAGTGGCTCCTGGGTCCTGGCGTGCAGCCGTGCCTGAGCCTGGGCTTTCTGATCACGATCATGATCATGTGCCACAGGCAAGGCGGCTCCTGTGTCCCCGGGTGTCACCGTGCCTGCGGCCGGCCTTCTGATCATGATCTAGATCTCGGGCCGCCTTCAGTCCTTGAGTACTGCCTTGCCTGTGGTCCTGCTTTCAGATCGCGATCAGGATCAAGATCACGGTTGCAGGCAAGGCAGCTCCTTGGTCCCGGGATGCCTCCTTCACGCGGCCCGGCTTTTAAATCATGATCACATGTTGACATGTAAGATCAATTCTCATATTTTCAGTTAACAAAACTTTTCAAATGTATACCACGATATAAACAATTTACAATCTCATTTTTTCATGTCCACTTTAAAAATGAGGCAAAGTAAATTGAAAAAGTACAAAACTATATTTTTCAAAGGGGAATTCAGTGTAGTATGCCAACCTGAATTAGTTACTGAAGTAGCAAACTTAATGTATTATGAAGCCTTTTAATCTATCACTGTGGATCTTACAGCACTGTCCACAGTAAGTATGCAGTATATACTAAGATACTAATAAAAAAAGTTACAATAAAAGATCTTACTATTGCCTTACTTTTTAATATAGAGACTGGCTTTAAGCACCTAATCTTTACAAAAAATTTTAATTACTTCAACTATTCCTACCAACATTCTGATAACTTTAATGAAATATTAAATATGCCTATATGCAACCCAGTAAAACCTGGAAAATATTTAAACTCAATCTTAATGACCCTTTTGACTGACATCCTAGCCTAGTGAATATTTTCTACTCACTTCCTTCAACTGTATTATCAACTCTAAACATGTTAAATTTTTTGAAAGGTTATGCTTGAAAAGACTCAAGAAGAAACATCATGGAAGTGTTCCAATTTTTAAAATTCTTCCTTGCTAATGTGCCATTGTAACTGCAGAGTTAGGAGAGAAAATGCTGACATCACAGACACATTTTAACTCAAAAAGGCAATAGTGCAACACAGACAGTCCTCTAGGGATAGCAAGATGTAGAATGAAATTTTACTTTCTAGATATTGGTTGTCTAATTTCTTTAAAACCAATTTCTAGACATGATAGCTAATGGTATGTATTATAGAATATAAGCCCTTGGAAATACCTGCTAGCAAGGCGGTCCTGGAAAGTAATACAGAACAGCCACCCTTTGTATCCAGCGTCTGTACCACCAGAAATCTACACTTCACTAGTTCATTGTGGCAGTTTTAAGGCCAGTTACACAAGAATTTTCAAAGGCTAAAGAGCACAGAATATATGATTTTTATAATGAGAATAGTTGTTATTTAATTTCTTTGAAAGAGAAATCTTCACGCTGGCTAGATGGCTCAGTGGATTGGAGTGTCTTCCCAGGCACCAAAGGGTCCAGGATTCAGTGACCAGTCAGGGCACATACCCAGGTGCCAGGTTTGATCCCCAGTCCCAGACACTGGATGGGAGGCAACTGGTAGATATTTCTCACATATCCATGTTTCTCTCCCTTTCTCTTTCCTTCTCCCTTCCTTTCCCTCTGACATCAATTAAAAAGAAAGAGAAATCTTCAAGGTCAGAAAAACTGAAATGAAAACTCATAATTAAAATTATTTTAAAGTAATTCATATATGGTAACAATGTCCAAAAGGTTCAGGAGGAAAGGAAACAGCACATAATATATATATATATATTAAAAAAGTAGCCATTAGGAAGCAATATAAAATATTTAAGGAATTTTCTACTGTAAAATAATCCATTTTCCACATTATTAAAGTAAACATTAAAGCATTTGAAACTATACTAGTATACAGAAATAGGTACTTTAAACTTATTAAGTGAGAGGACCAAAGCTGAAAAGAAAATGTCAAGTGGCAAGTTAACTAGAAATTGTTAAAATTTAAGAGAGACATTTTCTTTTTATCCAAAAATGAAAGCAAAATTAAACAAATGTAATATCCTCTAGTAATAAAAATAATCAAAAGTGAAATGAAAAATACTAAGGATCATAAATTAAGCATAGGCTAAAAAAGATCCTCATCAGGTTAAAACCTTTCACTTATTTTTAAGAGGAAATACTAAACTTGCCAGAATAGGGAATATTATATTTAAACAGTCCTTGTTTTGGTAGGTGAGATACTCATTATGTCAATCCCCCCCACGCCCCCCCTCGCCACCCCCGTCTCCCTTAAAAGGAAAGAACTTATCTGGGATTGGAGCAGGAGCAGTGATCCTTCTCCAGTCCTTGCAGATGAGGCGCTCATCATGTCACAGCCCTCATTCCTCCTTAAGATAAGATGGCATGGGCACGCTGCACATCAGTAAGGTTAGCACAGCTGCCAGATTTTTTTATGGCCACCCTGCACAGGTTTTTGTTTTCACAATATCTGGCAATGGCCTAGGGGGAGACATGAGATAGAACACAGGTACATTCAAAATAAAGGAGCTGCAGCCTTCACAGAGAAAGCATCACTGATAGCCACACAGTCCTAATTCTTTATATGGATTATGGTCATTGCCTCTTCGGAGAGCTGCGTATACACTGCATGGTCCTTGGGATCCTATTTTATGTTCATCCACGAAGTTAAGTAGTTTAGGGACTCTGATTAGATTGACACAGCAAAGGGGAACTTAGAATTTGTTAAAGTTTGGGTTTTTTCAAGATGTCAAAGGTGTGACAGTCTTCCTCACAACAGTATCATCTGTTGTCTGTACACTTGGTTCCTTAAATATAATAAATATACAGTTGGGAAATGTTATTGTTTACTCAGCTATTTACATTCTATCCAATCTTCATTAGTTAGCATTTACTCTAAGCAAATTTTAATGAGGCTGGCATGTGCTGTATTTTACTGAAAGCTCCAAAGGTCTAGTGACTGATGCACCATCAAGGTACTATTTCACTTGCACATTAAGGTAGACGCACTCTAAAGGACTATTAAGTACCACAAAAACTGTCCATTTTAGTTGTAATTTTGTTGTATACTCCCCAGAATTCATAAGCCATAAATATTACTTTGTCGCACATACTTTACAAGTGCCATTAAAAACCCATATACTTTCTACACCCAGTGTTTGAAGTACATATTCTACAATCTAAGTATCTCTCTCTCAGGTTACTTTTGTCTAACAAACTGAAGGTACTGAACTGTGATCTATACAGAAAAGACATGAATTTGCAAACTGAGTTAAGAGTGATAAGTAGAATATGGTTGTAGATATGATTAATGATACAATTGTAGGAAATTATTCATGTATGGCTATAAAATAGAATACAGTTTCAAAAAAAACCATCAAAGTTTAAAATCGATTTAAATTATTCTGAATCGTGGTCACAGAAAAGGTAATTTTTATAATGTAGGATTCTTATATACACCATAAAAATACTGCTAATATGATGTGAGAGAGTTAATAAGTCTTATTCAATGTGTTAGTTTAAAACAGCTTTTCATTTTCCTAGTCTCTACATAATATGATTTATGCACAGATACTGGTTTTTGAGTCTGACAGAAAACCCCACTTTGTGATTCCACAGCCTTACCTCTAGGTTCAGTGCTCTTTCTTTTCGAAGAGGAGTCAATGCAATAGGCAACAATCCATGGTCACTTGCTAAGGACCGAAGGTCAAAATAGTATTGGGCATAGACACTGGTAGAAACATACAGACGGAACCGCAGTAGACATAGGTATTGCCTTTCCAACTCATTTCTGGGGAAGAAGGAAAACACAAAACCACCACAGGGCAATTTTAGTCAACATGGTTCTCTTCAAAATTGTCATTCTAAGCTACTAGGTTGGCTCTGAGTTTAGTTTTGAATCAAATAAAGGCTACCCAGCTGGGCTAATACACTAATGTTCAACCAGGCAAACAAGGCTCAACAATTTGTGGTCCTCTTTGAGTTTGGGACAAGGGGAAGGACTTTGAGTTTGGGACAAAGGGAAGGAGGTTATGTCTCTTGTGCACAATAGCTGTTGACTAGGGGCTCAATTATCAGAGTCCCATTAGTGCAGCTGTAGGTTTATTCTTCTTGCTCACTCTCAGGGCTCCACTCTAGTGCTCAGATGAAAGGAATGATGTATGCTGTTTCTTAGCCCTGAAGAACTTGCAGACATTTTCACCAGGCTGATAGCAGGAAGGGGATTAGTAAAGTAGAGATGTGCCAACAAAAGGACTGGGCACATCACCACAGCAACAAATGGATCCATTCAGAACCACCACTCTTATCTTTGAGGGGAAAACTCTTGGAAAATTATCAGACACCAAAAAAGAAAGTGAGGAAGAGACAACTCAATGGAAGCATGTACAATGCTCATGGACAGGAAGCATTAACACCTTTAAAATGTCCATACCACCTCAAATAATCTCTTTCAACCAAATTCCTATCAAGATGCCAATGCCATCTTTTACAGAAGTAGAACAACTAATCCAGAGTTTTATACGGACACACAAAAGACCCTGGACAATTCGTCACAGCAGTTGAGAGAAAAACAAAAGAGGCTGGAGGTATCACACTACCTGATATCAAACCCCACTACAGGGTTATAGTCATCAAAACAGCATGGTACTAGCATAAAAACAAACATAGATCAATGAAACAAAATTGAAAGCCCAGAAATAACCCCACACCTATATGTTTAATTACTATTTGACAAAAGAGGAGACTTCATTCAACGGTATAAAGACAGTCTATTCAATAAATGATGTTGGGTAAATTGAACAGATACATTCAAACATTGAAGCTAGACCACTTCTTACACCATATACAAGAATAGACTCAAAATGGATTGTTAACCTAAATGTAAGTGTCAAAACCATAAAACTCCTAGAAGAAAACATAGGCACTAAAATCTGGAATATTTCTCTTAGTGCTTTGCTGATAGATTACCCTGAGCAAGCGAAATAAAAGAAAAAATAAAGGATTGGGACTATATCAAACTAATAGTTTTAGTATAGCAAAAGAAAACATCAACAAAATTAAAAGACAACCCACTGATGGGAAAACATATGTGACATTGATATATCTAATAGGGGGTTTAATATTCAAAATTTATAAAAAACATATATAACGCAACACCTTATAAAAAACAGATACAGCTCAATACCAAAAATACGAAAAATCTAATTAAAAAATGGACAGAGGACCCGAAAAGACACTTATCCAAAGAGAGCATACAGATGGCTGATAGATAGGAAAAGATGCTTAACATCACTGATCATCAGTGATATGCAAATTAAAACCACAATGAGATATCCTCACACCTGTCAGAATGGCTATCATCAACAAACAGCAAGTGCTGACAAGGATGTGGAGAAAAGGGACCCTCGTGCACTTTTGGTGGCAAGGTATATTGGTGCAGACACTGTGGAAAATAGTATGGAAGTTCCTCAAAAATTAAAAATTGAACTGCCTGTGACTCAGTGATTCTACCCCTGGTATATATCTGAAGAAAACCAGGACACTAATTGAGAGGATATATGCACCCTATATTCACTGCAGTATTATTCATAATCCTTAAGCTGTAGAAGCAACTCAAGTGCCCATTAACTGATGAGTGGATAAAAAAGCAGTGGAATATTATGACTCATCCATAAAAAAGAATGAATTTCTGCCATTTCTGAGAGAATAGTTGGACCTAGAGGGTATAATGTTAGTGAAATAAGTCAGTCAGAGAAATACAAATAACATATGATTTCACTAAAAAGCAATATAAATGAACAAACAAAACAGAAGCAGACTCAGAGGTAAAGGGAACATTTTGATGGTTGCCAGAGGAGAAGAGGTTTGGGGGAGCTGGGTGAAGAAATTGAGAAGTACAGACTGGCAATTACAATGCAGTTATGGGGATATAAATTACACCATGGGAAAGAGAGTCAATAATACTGCAATAACTATGCATGGTGTCAGGTCAGTACTAAAAATATTGTGGAAAACACTTCGCCAAGCACATGATTTTCTAACCATTATGCTGTACACCTGAGACTAATATGAAATAACTAGAAGCCCGGTGCACAGATTTGTGTTCTTACACAACCCGGGACCCCTCGGGGGATGTCAGAGAGCCAGTTTCGGCCTGATCCCTGCAGGCCAGGCCAAGGGACCCCACTGGTGCACGAATCTGTGCACTGGGCTTCTAGTATGCATATAAGATCTTTGGTTAATCTCTTCCCGCACTTCCCACTCCCCCATTCTCTCTGAGATTCATCAGTCTGTTCCATGTTCCCACGCCTATGGTTATCACTCCTGCATTAAGCATCTGCCCTGGTCGCCAGTGCACATCATAACTACTGGCTGGGCAGCCGGTCGCTTAGGCTTTTATTTATATACTAGAGGCCCGGTGCACAAAAATTTGTGCACTCGGGGGGGGGGGTCCCTCAGCCCGGCCTGTGCCCTCTCACAGTCTGGGACCCCTCGGGAGATAACGATCTGCTGGCTGAGGCCTGCTCCTGGGTGGCAGAGGGCAGGCCCAATCCCTAGGTGCAGCCCCTGGTCGGGCTCAGAGCAGGGCCGATTGAGGAGTTGGGGCGCCGCCCCCTGTCATGCTCAGAGCAGGGTGGATTGGGAGGTTGTGATGCCACCCTCAGTCACGCGCAGGGTGGGGCTGATTGGGGGGGTGGGGCTGATTGGGGGGTTGGGGCACCGCCCCCTGTCACACTCAAGGCAGGGTCGATGGGGAGGTGCCGCGCCACACCCTGTCACCCACAGAGCAGGGCCCATCAGGGGGTTGGGGAGCTGCCCCCTGTCATGCACAGAGCAAGGCCCATCAGGGGGTTGAGGAGCTTCCTCCTGTCATGCACAGAGTAGGGCCCATAGGGAGTTAGGGCACCGCCCCCTGTCACACACAGAGCAGGGCCAATCAGGGGGTTGCGGCGCCGCGTCTGTCACACTCAGGGCAGGGCCGATGGGGAGGTTATGGCTCTACCCCGTCACACACAGAGCAGGGCCCGTGGAGGGGGGTGGGTTGGGGCACCGCCCTCTATCACCCACAGAGCAGGGCCGATCAGGGGGTTGCGGCGCCGCGACTGTCACACTCAGGGCAGGGCCGATGGGGAGGTTATGGCTCTACCCTGTCACACACAGAGCAGGGCCCGTGGTGGTGGGAGGGTGGGGTGGGGGGGTTGGGACGTAGCCCCCTGTCACACACAGAGCCACAGGGCGATCAAGGGGTTTGGGCACTGCCCCCTGTCATGCTGTTCCGGTGCCAGGAGGCCTCGCTGCTCTGCTGATCCCGGTGCTGGGAGGCATATTACCCTTTTACTATATAGGATAGAGGCCTGGGGGCTTGGCTGCTTTGCCCTGAAGGGTGTCCTGGATCATGGTGGGGTTCCCACTGGGGTGCCTGGCCAGCCTGGATGAGGGGATGATGGCTGTTTGCAGCTGGTCACACACCCTTCAGGGTGGGGGTCCCCACTGGGCTTCCTGGACAGTCTGGGTGAGGGGCTGAGGGCTGCTTTCAGGCTGGTGGTTGTTGATTGAAGCTCTCAACCTCTCCTTTTTTTTATTTTATTCTGGGCCAGCTTTAGCTCTGGCTCTAGCTCTGAGAGCAGGTATCTGGTTTGTTTCGGTTCTATAATCGAAACAATGTATAACTCCAGCTCTGAGATCCCGGCCTATATTTGTTAGAATGTTTCAAACTGCCAGCTCAGAGGCCTGCAAGGCAGGCGGGGAACGTTGGAGTCTGCAGTCACTGGAGCAAGCAAGCCTCAGGATCGCTTCCAGCTGCCTGGCTGCCGGCCGCCATCTTGGCTGACAGTTAATTTGCATAAGGATACGCTGATTAGCCAATGGGAAGGGTAGCGGTCGTACACCAATTACCATGTTTCTCTTTTATTAGTGTAGATAGATATTGAATGTAAAGTCTTATTGAAAATAAATGAAATTTTGAAAACCGGGGAATTAAAGACCTGAACTGGTAGAAAGCGTTAAGAAAGGCATGAAGGTATTTACATTACTGTTGTTTTTGAATCTGAGCTTCTACAAACTTTGCTACCAGAGAAATATACCAAATTATCACACAGATTATTACAATAATAACACATGAAGACATACTACTTAATGAGGAGTATGAAATGTCAAAGCAAATATGGATAGAAAATGTACGTAATTTTATGCCTAGTTCAGTCCTCTGCACAATGTAACCTTTCAAAATATTTCTTATTTTGTAAACTTTATGGGGGCAAAGAAGGTATTCGAAAATGGTTTGAAACTTCATGAAAATCTTGCAAACTCACAAGTTCTTGATTGTAATGCCCCTTAGCAATGAGAAGAAGTGAAAATTCCACATAGCCTCATCGTGCAGATACTTGTATGTCAGAATAATCGCTCCCAAAACAATGCGTTTCCAGTTAGATGGGCAAATGTCGATTTCAGCATAAGATAAAAGTCTTTCTATGTAAACCTGCAAAGTAGAACACTGGTTTTTGATTCTAGTTCAGTTTAAGTGCTGTGATAAGAACTTTCAGGAATGATAGATTTCATCAGTTTTTGACATGCCTTTTATTCATAGCTTCTAGAGAGACTGCTTGGCCAGCCAAAGCCAGAGGCCAAGAAACAGTTGCAAATCAGACACTTCTACTGCCTACTTTCCCAGGTGAATTTCCAGCCTGCTCACCAAAGAGTCGCTGGTTCCACTCTTGGCCCCTGTCAGGACTCATGCGGGAGGCAATCAATAGATGTCTCTCATACTGATGATTCTCTCTCTATTTCTCCTCTCCTCCCCTTTCTTTTCTACTTTCTCTGAAAATCAATGGATAAAATATCCTCTGGTGAGGATTAAAAAAATTTTTTTTAAAGAGAGTCCCCCCAGAGGCTGCTGTGTGGTGCAGCAGGACAGGCAGTGCAAACAGGTGTGTCTGAGGCAGGTCTCTACAACTGTCAGGTATTCCTGGACTTAGTGCCTTTGTAAGAAACACACACGCACACCAAGGATAGACATTTCATATCCCCTAAGCCTCACATCTCCATCACAATTCTGTGAAATCCATCTCTGTCTTACACAACCTGAAGCTTGGTCAGTTCTGTTGGTTTCAGTTGGTAGCAGAGCTGCCAGTCTCTATCTCCCTGGTTCTCCTCTAAACCTGCCAGATAGCTGGTGAGATCTCATGATTTCTTCACATGTATTACATGTCTAATCTACAAAGAACTTGGTGAAGTTAACAGCTAAGCAAAGATTATCGAGGCAAGCTGTGATTTGCTGTTTCGTCGAAGGGTTTTTGAAGAAGAGTATGTTTACTGTCCGAGGTTATCAGATTGACAGCCCACATTAGCCAAAGGTGTTAAAACCCAACTGTATTTTAGAAAGCAAAAGGTTACTGAACATTATGCGCTATTAGTGAAAGTTTGCACCAATCTTTCAAAGCTAAATGCTCCCAGATATCCTATGAATGAACCTCCTTACAAGGTTCAACTGTCAACTTTCTCGGAATAATTAGAGACATACACAACATTGGAAATCACTCAACTTTCCTTCATCACTTCTACAGATTTAGAATGTGCCATTACTCATTCATTTATACCACTTGCCCTCCTGTGTCAGTGGAATTGAGATTTCTCTTCTCACTGAAACTCTTCTAGCAGTGAAGTCAATCCCATCCCACTTCTGAAAAACACCTCCCACAATTACCTCTTCTTGAACACTTTCCTGTGCCAGAGATTCTCCCCAATATGAATGTATTTATGTGATACCCATCCCACTCCCCACAATCCCTAGACTGCCTCCTGTCTGTTTGCTCACAGTGAATGCCCTGAGGCTGCTTCTCATCTCCCACTCTCTCCTTCACCCACTGCAGTCTGCCCCTGGCACTGTCACTCGACTGAAACTGCTACTGCTAAGGTCATCGGTGCGTGTGCACATACAAACCAGAGCTCTTCACCCCAGCTCCCCACTCCCCACACATTCCCTAATGTCATGTGGGGCACTGCCATTTGCCTAGGTGCTTGGCCAAAGACGTCCAATTGAGTTGACCTGTTGCAAACTGTTAGCAACTCTTGTTATCGCTGCCTGTCACTGATAGTGAGTCTGCTTCCTAGTCTATTTGTCACTTCTCACCCATGTCACTGTTATTGTCCCTGACTTCTCGGCCTCCACTCAGACTCCCAGCTACAATCATTGTCCCCAAAGCAGCCTGGATAGCTTTTGTAATCAAGAGCACTTCCCCACCCTGCTCAACTCTGCCAAAGTGTTTCCACCAAACAAATAAAAATGTCACTTTCTCCCATGGCCTGCAAGCTGCAAGGCCAATCAGGTAGCACTTGCCCTTCTAGGTCCACATGACCTACATTCTCTCCCTCATTCCACACTCTGACCACACTGGCCATACCTCACTCTTACTCAAATACCAAGTATAAGTTCCCATCTCAGAGGCTGGCACTTATTCCCTCTGCACATAACGCCAGAGCTCCTCAAATTCCTCAGTTCAGTCAGGCCAGGGTCAGATGTCATCTCTTACAGAGGCTCTTCCTGATCACCTCTCTCAAGTAGCAAGCCCCTCTCAGCATGATATCACGTCACCCTGCTGTACCTTCGTGATATTTACTACTACCTGAGATATTCACCTTTTAACAACACTCAGTTAAAGAAATATTTATCTCTTCCTCACTAGGACAGAAGCTCCATAAAAGCAAACACTTTATTCAATCATGGCTCTCCTCTATCCTCTGCACTTAGATCTGTAAGGACTCAGCTCTGAAGGAGAAATCATCAGGCATAGCTTAGGGTGCTATCAAAACAGGGAGAAACAATAAAATGAAGGAAGATAAGTGAGTTTCCAGAAAGAAAGTGAGGTCAAAGTGCTCAATGCTGACAAGAAGTTGCTCATTCCATAAATCCACTAAATACCTGCTCTTGCTACTCTTCCTGCTTCCATGCATTTTGATTCACACATTTTCTCGGTACTGGAATAGCTAATACTAATTCCCTGCCAGTAGCTCAGATTTATGCTCTAATTCCATATATTCAAACGCGTGGCCTGGTGCATCAAATGCGTGCATGGAGGGGGTTGTTCCCTCAGCCTAGCCTACACCCTCTCCAATCGGGAACCCCTTGGGGGATGTCCAACTGCCAGATTAGGCCCAATCCCATGGGCCTAAACTGGCAGTCAGACATCTCCCTCACAATCTGGAACTGCTGGCTCCTAACTGCTCACCTGCCTACCTGCCTGATTGCCCCTAACTGCCTCTTCCTGTCTGTCTGCCTGCCTGATCACCCTCTGCCTGACTACCTGATCACCCCTAACTGCCCTCTTCTTCTGGCCTGATCTTGCCAACTGCCCTCCTACTGCCCTCCTCTGCTGGCCAATTTGGTTCTGACCTTTCTATGCCAATCAGCATCAAAAGCTCTGCCATTGGCTGCTCACACTTCACCCAGATTTAGTTCTGACTGGTCAGTTTCTATGCCAGTCAGTGTCTCTGGGTCTATCAACAGAGCCTGCTCAGAAGTGCGGCACTGATGAGCATCCCTGGTGGAGGCCTGGAGAAAAATAGAGGTGCTGCTGCTGGCCCGGCTTGGAGAGAAAGAGAGAGGCAAGTGTTGATCAACAGCTGCCACACAGGCTATGGATCAGACCCTGCTTCTCTCTTCAGGCCTCTCTCTGGGCCTGGTTTGCATTCCCTCAGCAGTCAGTGCTGGGTCATAGTGCCTGCAGCCGCAGCAGTCAGTGCTGGGTCACCACGGCAACCAAGTGCTGACTGCAGGACTGACTTTCGGTTGGCTGAACCCCCGGTTATGATGAACTCAGGGTTTTTATATAGTAGGATGATCTCTAGAGATGCCCCTCTGTCTCACAGGTGCATCATCTTAATGTGTTTGAAAAGCACTCACCCTCTTCTACTCCAGATGCTCTCCTTGCTGAGTTCCCTAGCTCTTCAAGTGGGAGCACCACTCCCGCCTTTGATCAGCTGTGCTCAGCACTCCAGATGGCTGGCAGCTCCGTGAAAAGGCCTGTGTCTAATCCAGTGCCCACTGAGGGGTCTCTATTCGGAAGCACAGGCAGCCTCTCCAAAATTCTGATTGAACACTGATGGAGGAGGCACTGCACTAAGTACTCTTCCCTCAGACCAAGCAGGAGACTTTCCCCTTTAGGATTGTCCGAGGGAGGAGTGATACAATCCCCATTCTTTCTCACGAGAATGGACCTCTCATTGCAAATGACACACTCTTTCCACAGGAAGCCTGGATGAATGACACAGAGCCCCTTACACAGCTGTAGCTGAGCAGACAACCAGCAAAGCCTTTCAGGTCCTACTGGCACTAGAATCCTGGAAACATCACAGGCAGGCACAAGAGGACAGCAAGGACGGATGAATACCATCATCCAAGGAACAGAGAACATTGGGCTCTAGTTCTCAGTCAGGACACACATTACAACTGCCTGGGGAATGCAGCCTGCGACTCAGCTTAGACCTACACTGAACCTGTCACTGCCTGGGGCCCAGAAAGTTCTGTTATTGCCCCCATCCTGCCCCATCAGCACACCTTGTATGTATGCCTGTGTGCACTGCATGTGCCTATGTCTCCTGAGGCCTGGAGGGAGAAATGGGAAACCTCTCCCTCCTGCTGCCTTTGATACAAATCGCTTTGTGGTAAAAAAGCAAGGACATTTTAAATCATAGTGATTATTAAGCTCAAGTGTGTGAACTTTACATCCTTTGATAGGTTTCCCTTAATAAAGTTCTGAAAGAAGAACTATCTTACCAATGTTGTTATGGCATATCCTCCTGTTGCCTTAAAGGCAATGAAGAAAGGTCGAATAAATCTGTAAATTGATTCGGGATCAGGATTATGATGAAAGAATTCCTCAGGAAACTTTTCTTCCTGAAAGAAAGTACCCATTGAAGAAAAATATTAAGTACTTTTGTAACAACCATGTTCCACTTGTGCCATGTGCAGCTTAAAATTATTTTGATTGGGTGACATGTATTTTAGCCTTTTCAATATAAATAATGGGACCTTAAAAAACAGTGACTGAATATTGACATGCAATAAAGATAAATACAGGCACAACCTCAGAATATTTATATATTCCTTTCCACCTTCCCCTACAATATTCTGTCTAAATGTGAACTATTTTTAGGCTCCAAAGACTTGTTGGTCATCATGTCATACTTCTCTGCAATCAACTTTGAGAATGTAACCATCGGGCTCTAAGGCTGTGCTGTGCATACAGTGCTCACCAGCCACATCTTGTTATAGAGCATTAAGACATTTTAAAATTTTTGTCATTCTAATTAATTCAATATTGAAATAGCTGTTTAATTGTCTTCTAGAGATCCTGACATATCTATTAGGTTTATGTACAAATATTCATATTGCTTGATGCTATTGAAAATTTTCTTTTAAACATATACATTTTTGTTTTTCAGGCATGTTGTCCACTGTAGCTCACTAATTATACAAAGCTGAAACTCAGTTCTTACTGACCTATCCTATATAATAAAAGGGTAATAAGCAAATCGACCAAATGGCGGAACAATTGGTCACTGTGATGCGCACTGACCACCAAGGGCAGAGCCTCAACACAGGAGCTGACCCCTGGTGGTCAGTGTGCTCCCACAGGCGGAGTGCTGCTTAGCCAGAAGCCAGGCTGATGGCTGGCGAGCATAGTGGCTGTGGCAGGAGCCACTCCCGCCTCCGGGGCAGTGCTAAGGATGTAAGCCATCAGTCAGACATCCCCTAAGGGCTCCTAGACTGCAAAAGGCACAGACTGGGCTGAGGGATCCTCCACCCCCAGTACATGAATGTCGCGCACCGGGCCTCTAGTTTCTTATATAACACGAGAGGCTCAGTGCACAAAATCCGTGCATGGGTGGGTGGCCCTCAGCCTGTGCCCTCTCATAATCAGGGACCCCTCGCGTAGGGTCCCTAGGTTTGACTGGTGATCAGGGCCTATTGGGGCTTTCCTTCCCCTGGCTACTGGCAGCTGGCCATGCCCCCGCTGCTGCCACTGCTTGCCATTGGTGTGGCACTGCCAACCCCTACCCCATCACTTGGCATCTCCCTCTGCGGGCAACAGGCGTGGGGTGTGATCATTGGCTGGCCTGGGATTTCCCTCTGCGGGGTGATCACTGGCTGTCCCTGCACACCCACCACCACACTGCTAGCCAGTGGGCTGGGCCTCCCTCTGTGGGTTGATTGATTGCGGGGGCCCCAGATCAATCACCCTGCAGAGGGTGGCCCTGCCCACACGACAGTGCTGTCTGTAGGGGTAGCCTGGGTCTTCCTCTTTAGGACAATTAGTCGTGGGGCTCTGCGCACCCAGCTGGGGCTCCACAAATGGTCACCGCCCAGAGGATGGCCTGGGCCTCCCTCATTGGGGCGATCACAGAGTGCCACCCCACCCCGATCGATCGCCCCGCCAGCCAGAGGCATGGGTCTCCCTCTTTGAGGCCTTGGCCTCCCTCTGTAGGGCGATCGTGGGGCGATGGCCGGGCCCCCTGACCAATCACATTGCACCCACCTTGGCAGGCCTGGCACCAGTGTGTGTCATAGCATGGTCATCCAAAGTTCATCTGGAAGGTCGTTCTGCTGTTTGGTTGTTTGGTCGGTTTGCATAGTACACTTTTATTATTATAAACTAGAGGCCTGGTGCACGGATTTGAGCACAGGTGGGGTCCCTCGGCCTGGCCTACGGGGATCAGGCCAAAACCAGCTCTCCAACATCCCTCGAGGGCTCCCGGACTGTGAAAGGTGCAGGTCAGGCTGAGGCACCCCTCACCCCAGTACACAAATGTTGTGCACTGGGCATCTAGTTTCTTATATAACACTAGAGGTCTGATGCACAGATTTGTGCACAGGTGGGCTCCCCTGGTCTGGCCTGCAGGGATCAGGCTGAAACCGCTCTCGGACATCCCCCAAAGGTCTGGGATTTCAAGAGGGCAGTTCTCGGGTTACACACCCCAGAATGGACTCCCTCCTCTCAGGTTCTGAGTGCATCACCTGAGAACCACATCTGCCAAGTCACAGCAACTCAGTAGCATCTGCATTGAATGTCAGACCTCTGTTGGTCAGTTCGCGCCATAGCTACCAGTTAGACAGTCGCTTATGCTTTTATATTAGATGTTCCTTTTGTAAAATAATTAGATACAACATGGGGAGGGGAAGAAAACTTAAAGGAAGGTAATGTGAACTCCAAGCTGGAGAAAGTAATTTTTTACTAGTGATTAATTTTGAAGCAAATCAGCATGGAATAAGCACAATTGTCTGAGAGAAAAGGACAACCTCAATACAACTGGCACTTACTGTGACAGGATGGAGTCTCTCATAAAAAATGTCCTTGGATCTATTTGCATCTCTAGAAAACAAGAACGTGATTGAAAAAAAAAATCCAGGAACTGTCGTGTTAGCAACACATCTGCTGGGAGTAGAGGGGGGTGGAGGGAGCTTAACCTTCAACAAAGAAAGTCCTTCTACAAATTCTTCTCTTAGATCCCGTAGGAATTTTCTGACCTCTTTTTATTCAGCACATCAAATTCTGTGAAATTTTTTCTACAATGACCTGCCAGAGCTGCCTTTATAAGCATTGACCCTCCCTAATAGGCAACACTAGGCAACCAAATCGATGGCCAGACCTCTAACTTCTCATTGGCAGACTCAGGAACATTTTACAACGCAGTAGTAGTGGGCAATTCTTCATGTGAGAATGAGATTCCTGGTTTTTTTTTCACTGTTTTTTCTCTTACTAGTTTCCTATATTATATTCTTATTATATAATATATTTCTTCTTGATTCTTTACAATAATCTGAGGTTAAAATTTGCCTTTGAATTTTAAAAGTGACCACTCTATTGATTTGAGGGGGAAAAATGGATTGCCTGCCCCCTATACATGGAACTGGAAAACTAGCTATGTGGCCTTACAGAATTGAACCTACAACCTAGGTATGTGCTGCCTAAATTGGAATCAAACCTGCCAGCTTTTGGTGTACAAGACAATGCTCCAACCAACTGAGTGAGGGAAACCAGTCTTCTGGGGTTTTAGGTTTAATTTTCCACACTACTACACTCTGCTCATTTACACAGTGGTTCTCCAAGTGTGTTTTGCAGGCTTCAGTGGTTCCACTAGACCATTTCCAGGAGACCCATGAGGCCAAAACTGTTTGTATAGACATATTAAGGCACTGCCTGCATTTACACTGACATTTGCAATGACTGGATAAAAGCCAAAGTCAGTAAAACTGGTTTCTGAGCAAGAATCAAGGCAGGGGTCCCAATCTGTGCTAGTAGTCATTCTATTCTTCACTGCCACTTGTTGACAAGAAATATGCTTTACTTAAGCACATCTTTGATAAAGCAGTGACAATGAATAATGTTATTAGAAGTTGAATCTTCTTTTTATACTCTACAGTGGTTCTCAACCTTCTGGCCCTTTAAATACAGTTCCTCATGTTGTGACCCAACCATAAAATTATTTTCGTTGCTACTTCATAACTGTAATGTTGTTACTGTTATGAGTTGTACTGTAAATATCTGATATGCAGGATGGTCTTAAGTGACCCTTGTGAAAGGATCATTCGACCGCCAAAGGGTCGTGACCCACAGGTTGAGAAATGCTGCAAGGGGAAGTATGCATTAAGCATTTCTGCATACTGAAATGTGGTTGTTAAGGAAAAGCACTTGGAATTAGTTGTGAGATGAATGCCCTACTGTTCTCAGAGAATAATATTTTTATTTGATAATACAAGTGTCGTGCACTCAAGGCTGAAAAGTGAGTCTGTCACTTCCAGGAAAATAACTTATACATTTCTTGCCAATTGCACAGTTCCAGCTATCAAGCTCAAAATCAAGATTGGGGAAAACTTGTATCCTTTTTGTGACCTAACAGTTTTTCAATACCTAAAGGTTTTTCTGGGAAGACTGGTGGTTATGTGATGCTACCTAACAAAAGTGAGTTTTGATACTGTAAAAAGAAATGTGAGCTGATACTTTCCAAATGACCAATGCACAATGTTATTAGAAAATTACTTACAATTTAAGAGATTCATTTAGCATAGAAGATGTATGCATGGGTACTAATTTAACAGAGACCTTAGTACAAGTTCAAGGATAGGATTTAAAATTCCATTGTAACTAATTTCAGAAGACAGCTTCTGTGGACTCTGGTATAGTATCAAAGAATATCCAAAATTATCTGAAGGCTTTGAAAATAAAAATTTTCTAGCCATAAAGATACATGAGGCTGGGTCTGCATATTGTTTATTCAAAACAAATTATTGAGATCACTGAGGTAATCACTAAGGATTGAAGACAGGGTATAAGTGAGAATCAGCTGTCTTCTGTTGAACCAGACATAAAGAGATTTGCAAAATGTAAATAAGTGACACAATTTCCATTCGACCAATTTATTGTGGAAAATGATTCTCTTTTATAAAGAATTATGTTAACACTATGACTCGCTATCAGGGGTGTTTCTGCCCCCCAGGAAACATTCAGCCATGGTGGATACATTTTTTTGTTGTCAAAATGGGACCTGGGAAGATTATGCTACTGGCATCTAAGCTGTAAACACTCTGTAACGCACAAGGCAATCCGCCACAACAAAGCAGTATCCTGCTCAAAATTTCAACAGTGCTATAAAAACCATGTTTCAACATACAAGGAATTCATTTTTAAATTCTCAGTTTTAATTTCTAATACAGTAAATATCAATATAAACCAGATAAACAAATTTTCTTCAGGATCCTCAATAACTTAAGCATTAGGAGTCCTAAGACAAAAACAAATGGTTCGCTTCAACAATGTAATAAGAGCACTAAAGCTTACTTCAATAGTATCCATAGTTAAAATCTAACACTAACTTTATATCTGGTAAGTTTATTAGCTGGAATAACAAGACTGGTTTTAAAACTCACCTCTTTTTATGTGGTAATATATTGCTAGTGCCAGGCTGTGGAGAAAAGAAAAAGTAACAATTGACTTTATGTCAGGTCTGAAGACAGGTTTTAAAAGGGTTGTGGTGGGGGAAGACCATCCCAGCTTCCAGGGGCCATGAGATTCTCATTCAGAAAGTATCGCCTAAGCACTTTCTGCCTTGTGGTAGTTCTTTGTCAGTTACTAAAATTAGGAAAACCAAAATGCTAAGGAATATGCTGTTAGAAGACATGTTTTGGGTGATTATTATAACATAGAAGTTATTACTCTCTTGCCCTATCTTTTGCCTTTCTACTCAGAGAACCTTTCATCCTGTACAAGTTAGATCTACTTGTACAGATACTTAAATTTAAGCCACAGTAGTTTTCCACCTGCCCACCTATTTTCCTTTTTCCCCTAAAGTTAAATAAAATGCTCTATACAGAAGAGAATCATTTAAGGTCACTTTTACATAATTGTTAAGAAAATGTAATGGCAAATATAAGAATGCAATGAAGTAAAATTATACACCCTGTAGTATTAAAAACATTTATTTCCAAATTAGTTTAAATAAAATTTTAATGAGCAGATGTAAGTCCTCATATACTGCGTAAGGTCCTATATCCCTGTTATTCCCAGATGCTGTGTAACAGGAAACAAAGGAGTGCTGTAGATCAAGTTATATGCTTTTTGTCTTTGCCCCAAATGTCAGAAATGAAGCTCCAAATAATTGAGGAAAAGCAAATCTGAATTTTATAACTAGGTTATAGAATATTAGCAGTTGTACAAAGGCCTGTAGCATTGTTAGCATCAAGATGGGCACTTCTATAGTGCTTCAAACAGTTTCATCTTCAAAATGATTTTAAAATCATAGAATTTGAAGCATATAAGCTGAAAGGAACCAATGAACTTGTGATGATATTTAACTCAACAACCCATTTTACAGAGAAAGTAACCAAGGCTTAAAACTGACTTGCTCAAGGTCCCACCAAGAGTGAGAAGCAGTTCTCCTTCTTCTACCCTCTAACCAGGTAGTGTGGTTCCCAAGCTTGGCTGTGCATTGGGATCATCAGTCATCAGAGGAGTTTTACAAACTGCCTTCTTCCACCTTGAGATGCTCTGATTTAACGGGCATTGGTTAACTTTGGAAGCTTCTCGGGTGAAGCAAAGTTTGAGAACACATGAAGTAGAGTTAAAATCAAAATCATCCCAGATGCTTTTCTCCACATAAAAATGCCTTCCATCCCCCCTCAGCTTATCAGAAGGCTTGTGAGAGTGACAGAGTGTGTTAGGGAAGGAGAAATGGAATGCATGTGTTTAGAGACACATTTAGACAAAAATTGCGTAAGTGATTCTAATAAGGCTCACCCATCCCATTGAGAACAATGCACTATTACCCCAGAATAAACATTTTTTCAAAATCATTCCTAAAAGCTAATGAGCTCTATTAATATTCTCACTAAACCTTTAATTTACCAATATTAATGTACTGAATGATCATTTTCAAAACTTGATAAGAGCAAATGAAAATTTACTGTACTTCCAAAAATTAGACGAATTTGGAGGGAAAAGGCTTAACACCCACTTGTCTGATATTCAAAACAACTGTTGAATTATATATTGTAACAGTAACACCAGAATCATCTAATTCAAAAGAAGCTATGAAATGCAGCCAGAAAGGACTGGTTTTTACTCCCGGATTTAGTGGCCAGACTGAAGAAAAAGACTCAGTGATTGTGAGTTGGGTGCCAAAGCTCAGGACTTTAGAGAGAGACGGGTTCCAGTTTTGCTGAAACTCAATTTGATCTCAACTGTTGTTATGAGAGAAGAAACTTACATTATTATGATTGTGAACTGGCTGTTATAATTAAAGTAGAAGTTACTGAGAATTTAATTAGCCAAAAAGCTGATACAATATAAACAAAATTAAGTTTATAAATAAATTATGTCTTAGGACTGAAAAATAAAATCAGGAATGAGGATGTTAATATTTTCAGGTAGAATTTCCCAAACTGTGTTCTGGAAAGTCAACCCTCTCATCCTGGAGAGACACCAATAATGATCCTTGGACAGCGCCAATGGGATTCAGGAAGCTCTACATCCTAGTTTGGTTTTATTTTGCTCTTAAGTAAGCTTGAAAGTTTCATATTAGGGTGTTTTTAAAGTGCATCTCCAATTGTGGACTATGAACTCACAGAATTTAATGAATAGTTTCATCATCATGACACTGTTATGTTTGCTAAGCGTAAACCTGACTGTGACTATGTTTCCCAAACTTCACCTCTCTCATGATTTTGCTTTGATTTTGTTATATATGGATGGATATAATGTAGTGTCTTGAAGATGTGTAAATATATATCTATACATATATATATAACTAAATTTAATTCATCTATGAAATTATTAAAACCTCAAAACTCAGCTCAAAGAAATTATTTTGAAAAGTTGTTCCTTTAGACTGCTTTGATGCATTCTAGAAGGAGATTTCCTAGAAGGAGAGTGCATTTCAATAAAGAAAAAGTAGGATGGGGGAAACCTGACACATTCCAATGAACTGTAATACACTCTGGTGCCAGTAGGGGACAAGCTGTCCCTTCTTCCAAGAGCAGCTTCCAGGGTAGTACACATGGTTTTAGGCCTGTATCTCATGAAGAAATACTTTATTCCAGAAACATTCAGTAAAACACACCTCTCCTTTCATTGTGTTCAACAATGTCTCAGGAACAGTAATGCCTCAAGTAAAGATAAACACTTTGGGGGGGATTTTTTAATTGTTAAGTGGGTTTCACTTCTTCCATTCACTCTAAGATTAAAATGGAAGTGGAAATCAATATATAATTGACACCAGTGTTTAACCTGAGCACTGAAAAGGACAATCAAATGAAAGTACATATGGGCAGGATAAGGGGTCTGTCCCCTATTTGTACTCACCACTGCAAGGTGATTTTCAAATCAGACTGAGAAATAGTGCTGTCTACAAATACTGTAGCACACGAGCTGTACTTTTCCCTAAGGTGACCAGGAGACACCTGAATGGGAAGGGGAGCAGAAGAAAATATCACAGTAAGTTAAACCTACAAAAGTGTGTTTTTCCTTGCTTAAAATGTCAGACAATTAAGCATTACAATTGTTCTCATACCCTATGAACTGCTTCAGTGCAATACCATGTGCAGCTCTACAGTAAACACACTGCATGCTCTCACTTCCAACGGTGAGAATTGACGAGGGGGTCATCAAATGCTGCCCTTGACATACTACCGATAATCCAACTTGGCCAACACCTATGATTAATTCCCTTTATAACAATGTAAAACATTTAAAATAAGATTTTAGTGTTTTTTCCTTGAGAAATGAATCCTGCCAAGATTTCTATTTCTACTATTTATTGTCTACATTAAGACATACTGCCTTCTATAATATTGAAGCAAGAGCTTTTACTGAAGTACATAAAAGCCAATGATAAATGTTAGTTCAGGAGACAGTGTGAAAAAATACATGTATCTGAGGCAGAGGTGTGTGTGTGCTGGGGCTGGCCTGCGGCTCACAAGTTAGGGACCAGAGTTCTCTCTGGGCCTCAGTTTCCTTACCTTGAGAATTAAAAAGTATTGTTTTAAGATTCTCTCACATCCAAAAATAGATCAAACAACTCTGAGAATTTAACTCTCCCTCATGTTGAAATAAGACTATTATTACATTACTCAAAAGAGAACCTCAGATAATATGGTACTTAACATGATATTACAAATTCTACTAGAGGCCTGGTGCACAAATTTATGCACAGGTAGGGGGTCCCTTGGCCTGCCTGCCAATCAGGGCTGATTGGGGCCGTCTTGCCCAGTCCTGATCTGAGCTGATCAGGCCCGACCAGCCAGGGGGAGGGACTATGGGAGGTTGGCCGGCCACAGGAGGTTGGCTTTGGGAGCACACTTAACACCAGGGGCAGTTTCTGCATTGAGTGTCTGCCCCCTGGTGGTCAGTGGGCATCATAGCGACTGGTTGACTGGTCGTAACGGTCTGTTGGCATACATATATATATATATATAAACTAGATCCAATGCATGAGTCCACCTCAATCAGGGCTGATTGGGGCTGATTGGGGCTGTGGGAGCAGCATGGGCCATGAAATGGGGCCAGCTGACCAGGGGAGGTGTCATTGGAGGTTCCAATCAGGACCACTGGGCCCAGTTGGAGGGAGGAAACATGGGAATTTGGTTGACTGGCCTTGGGTTACGGCCATGGGAAGTTGGTTGGTCAGCGGGAGGTGCTGCAAAGGGTTGGCCAGTCACCAGGGGGGAGGGGCTATGGGAGTTTGCCCGGCCCAAGGGAGAGACTGCGGGAGACTGGCCAGGCCATCGGGGCCATCAGGCTGGCTGGTGGGGGGAGGGTTTGTGGGACGTTGGCTGTGGAAGTACACTGACCACCAGGGGGCAGCTCTTGCATTGAGTGTCTGTCCCCTGGTGGTCAGTATGCATCATAGCTACTGGTTGTTCGGTTGCTTAGGCTTTTATATATATAGATTCCCTAAGCTACATGATACTAATCAGGACCCTGCCTCACTCAGATGCTCTCTCTGACTACAAGGCCTTTTTCTTCCACTTTTTCTCAGCAAGGTTAACCCCACTTCCCATCTACCTCCAGGACACCTCTGCCAACAGCTACACCAAACAACTGTCCCTTTCTCTGCACTCACACACCTGAGTTCCTACTTGTTACATGGTATCAACTGCTTCAAGGGCATCCCTCTCATAAAAAGTGAGCTTCTCTAGGGAAGACAGGACTTTCACTCCTCTTATACCTCCAACCTTCTCAGCACAGAATCTGGGGCAAGTTAGGCGTGCAACAAGTGTTTGACCAATTGTCTAAAATCAATTGCAACTGGAAGGCAAATCCTACTACTGATACAAGTTAGAATTTACCTGCAAGTGTCAGACCTATGACAATTATTTTTTGAGATATGCTAGAGAATAAATTATCTTTAAAACACTAGAAATATTCATGTCTTTAGAAGTATCCATTGATTTAAGAGCCCAACAATACAGCAATAATCAAATACGGAAATAGCCCAAACGATGTTACAAAAATCCTCTTAGAGTAAAACCAAAACCAAATTCTAGTCACTGTAAGTAGTTGAAAGTAATAGTAGTATTCTTTAATATGACAGAATACCAACATTCTAATAAGCTTCATTTTGTTAGTGGCAAAATGGCACCAGAGGTTTGACTTTTGTCGTTGAGTTTGGCTGAGGAAGAATTTAGAGCCAAGAACTTATCATAAGAGAAAGTATATTTAGAAAGTCACAGAGGTAGAAGTGAGCCAGTGTTGCTTGTGGGCTCAACACACAAGTTACAGAGCAGAAGAAGGGCCCCTGGAACTTAGAAGAAAGAAAGGAAGAATATACACGCCCGGGGAACAAGACGGGGAAGGCATGGGCATGCTCCAGAGTGAGAGCACCTGAGAAGAGGGCGGGGAAAACTACAGGCATGCTCAAGGGAGAGAGAGCACAGGTGCTGGGTCCTTCATCTTAAGGGCTTTTACCTAAAGGCAGAAATTTTAGGGACGGTCTTAGGGGACCTAAGCTGGGCCTGAAGCTGAAACCAACTGAAGCCTAGATATTACTTCTACTTTGACCAAAACTCTGTCTCTAAGATCAGCAGACCCGAGGCTTTGTTACTAAGGTTGTTAGAATCACGCCAGGACCTCTTTTGTCCTCAGGGCTTAATGCTATGGGAGTCAGGATGCAAGGGCATGCATGCAAGTTGTATGAGGCTATTCTCTGGGACCCTTGTTTCTCTTCAAGGGTGTCCATATGCTGGGGGAGGAAAGGTGAGGGGACCAGCGATATGAAAGTTCAGGGGTTGTAAACTGCATGACCTGTGATATGCTAAGGGAGGAAAGGTCACCCTTGGGTGAGGTCCCACCCTACAATACTTGGTTTCCCAGTTTCGCCCATTGCTAGGCACCAACAGCTTTCTACTTTGGTGACATACTTGGCCTGTCGTTCCTACTCTGTTCGTGTCTGCCTCACTGCCTACTGTATCAGTTTTCTTTTGTCATTATAAACTAATTCAGATAAGCCTTCCTTCCTCATATTCCTATAAAATAGCTTTTATCATGCTGTCATACTTTCCCACCAGTGTCCCCCTCATATACACAAAGACAGGAAGGGAGATTATCCGGTTGATATCTTTTAAAATACAGAGCATTTAAAAACTGCCAGTATCCAAGAATCAGAAATATCTTTATATTACACTAGAGGCCAGATACAGAAAATTCATGCAGGAGTAGGCCTTCCTTTCCCTGGCTGCCAGCACCAGCTTCCCTCTGGCACCCGGGACCTAGGCTTCCCTCACAGCCCTGGCTTCATCTGGAAGTTGGTTGTCCGGAAGGATGTGGGGTCAAATTAGTATATTATACTTTTATTATTATAGATAAAATATCAATTTGCCTGTTTCAGATGCTTCCCTTTAAAGCCACTGACTCCTCAGTAACCAGAGGCTCCAGATGGCATAATTTGAAAACAATCTCTATTTGGAGGAATAAATTCTTCAAGCTAGTAATATCTTAACTATAGCTAAAACTCTGATATGTTTCTTGAGCCATGCAGTTAACATATACTTTACTTTTCAGATCTCATCAGACAAATACAGCTTAAATTATGAAAACTCATCCAAATACTTTTTTTCTAAATGGAAGGTTTACTACTATACGGCTGCAATGTGGCATATAATACACCATAATAAAGTCAATTATGACCAGAAACCTATATAGGGGGGAGTAAAAAGAATAGGAAAAAATGCACCAAAATATAGACTAGTTAGTAAAACTTTGGGTGATATTTGCTCCCATTTCCTCTATTTAAATTTTTTCCATTATAAATGTACATTGTGTTCTATTTGAAAATAGTGCTAAAACACTGAAAAGTTTTAATCAGACATGGGCTCACAGGTCTATGGGGTTCATTTAGTAAAGCAACACTTTACAGTATAGTACTGTTAGGTCCAATCAAAGCAACACTGAGTACTTCCCCATCAGTCCAGGTCTACTTCCAATTTTTCAAAATTTCCAGTACCAAGTATCTAGTACCCACTATGGTGGCAGAATTAAACCTAGTAGCAAATCCTGGATATACTGGCTGCCAGATGATTATGTTCCTCTCATCTTGCTTGAATATGTAAAACAATTGTTCTTTATGGTTAAAATTTTACTGTTGCTGGCTTACAACCTCAATAAACTCAATAAACTCCATAGAAAACCATAGAGATAAAAAAAAAGAATCAAAGAACCTAAATGCTAATGACAAGGTAGTCTTTGTAGGTATTTCAGTAGGTCACTAGAATACACAAGGCAAAAATCCTACTGTATCTTCACTCATTCAGAACAAATTGACTTTTACAATCTTTTCAAGAAAGGGAAGCGGTTCGTTAGATTTACTTATTATTATTATTTTTTTTTATTGTCTAAAGTTTTACATGTCTACTTTTTCCCCAATTGACTGCCCCTGCCATTCCCACCCCGGGTGGGCAAGCCCCCACCGCCCCAGTGTCTGTGTCCATTGGTTATGCTAATATGTATGCATACAAGTCCTTTGGTTTCTCTTCTTACCACCCCCCCCACTGCCATTTGTCTCTGGATCTATTCTTGTTTATCAAATTATGTTCATCATTATATCATACATATGAGTGAGATCATGTGATATTTATCTTTCTCCGACTGGCTTATTTCGCTTAGCATAATGCTCTCCAGTTCCATCTGTGCTGTTGCCAAAGGTAAAAGTTCCTTCTTTTTTATAGCAGCACTAGAGGCACAGTGCATGAAATTTGTGCACTGGGGGTGGTGTCCCTCAGCCCAGATGCACCCTCTCCAATCTGGAATCACTAGGGGTTGTCTGACTGCCCATTTAAGCACAATCCATACACCGGCAGTTGGACATCCCTTTCACAATCTGGGACTGCTGGCTCCTAACCACTCGCCTGCTTGCCTGCCTGATTGCCCCTAACTGCTTCTGCCTGCTGGCCCAATCGCTCCCAACTGCCCTTCCTTGCCAGCCCGATCACCCCCAACTGCCCTCCCCTGATGGGCTGATCTTGCCCTCAATGGCCCTCCCCTGCTGGCCTGGTTGCCTCCAACTGCTCTCCCCTGCCAGCGTAATCTCACCCCCAACTACCCTCCCCTACCAGCCTGATTACCCCTAACTGCATCTGCCTTGGCCCCTACCACCATGGCTTTGTCCAGAAGGATATTGGACGTCCAGAAGATGGTGGGTCAACTCAGTCTAATTAACATATTACCCTTTTATTAGTATAAATAGATTATATAGGATAGGATTGCTTAAAGGGGGGAGGGAAGCCTTTTTCAGCAGGAGGAGATGCACTTGGCAGACAAAAATACATAATCACTGTATCTTGATTGAGAGCCAGCCCTATGCACTGTACAGCCAAACTGGTCATTAAAAAATTGAACCGCTTTCTTACAATTTACACCTTACACCAAACAACCTTTGCCCTTAAAACCTCTCTTCAGCCCCCACCTTAAGTTCTGCCTTCACAGTTCATCCAGATTAGGTTTTGATTGGTCGGTTTCTATGCCAGTCAGCATCAAAATCTTTGCCTCCTAGGCAGCCATTGGCTCCAGATTATGTTCTGATTGGTCAGTTTCAATGCCAGTCAGCCTCAAAAGCTCTGTCTCCTAGTCAGCCATTGGCTCTTCTCAGTTCACCCAGATTTGGTTGATTGGTCAGTTTCTATGCCAGTCAGCATCTCTGGGCCTATCCCCGGGCCTGATCAGAGAGGTGTGGCTGACCAGCAGCCACCCCAGGCTTCTGGCAAGCAGGCTGAACTGCTGACCTCTCAGAGACAGAGAGCTGTGGCTGCTGGTGAAGCCCAGAGAGAGAGAGGCAAGGGCTGTTCAGCAGCTCCACGGAGGCTGTGTATCAGACCCTGCTTCTCTTTCCAGGCCACACCAGCACCTACTTCAGCTGATCAGCTCTGTCTCTCTCGTTTTCTGAGAGGTCAGCAGTTCAGCCTGCTCGCCAGTCCCTGCTCACCCGAGCCTGCTGCTTGTGAAGTGTGGTGTTCGGTCGTCCCTTCAGTTGTTTTGTACATTATGGTCCCTGGCTCTTTATATATATAGACTAGTAGCCCGGTACTGAAATTCATGCATGGGGGAGGGAGGGGAAGGGGGGCTCTCATCCTGATTGGCTGGTGAGGGTAGCGGAGGGGACGGTACCAGAGTTGGCGAAAGTCCTGAGAGCCCTGGGTGTGGCTTGGCGTGCCTCCTGGGGCTGGTGAAGGTCCCAGGAGCCCATGGCCATGGCCATCGTCGCCTCTTGGGGCACTTGACACAGGCATATGCAAATTAACTGCCATCCTTGTTGGATACTTTGCATAGTCACTCAGATTGGCTTGTGGGTGTGGCTTGTGGGTGTGGCTTGGATGTAGCAGAGAGACGGTTAATTTGCATTTTTCTCTCTTATTATATAGGATAATGAACTCACAGAAAGAGAAATGAAAAAAAAAATCCCATTTATCCCTGCACCAAAAACATTAAGTTCACTGGGAATAAATTTAACTAAGGAGGTAAAAGACCTCTACTCAGAAAACTATAGGACATTGAAAAAAGAGATAGAGGAAGATCTAAACAAATGGAAGAACATATTATGTGCATGGATTGGTAGAATCAACATCATTAAAATGTCCATACTACCCAAAGCAATCTACAGATTCAATGCAATCCCCATTAAAATAGCAATTGCACATTTCAAAGATCTATAACAAACTTTCCTAAAATTTATATGGATTAAAAAAGACCCTGAATAACCACAGCAATGCTGAGAAAGAAGAACAAAGTTGGAGGGATCACAATACCAGAAATGAAGCTATATCAGCAAGACATGGTTCTCACAACTGCCTGGTACTGGGACAAGAAAAGACATATAGACTAATGGAATAGAACAGAGAACCCAGGGTTCCTCAGATTTAAGTTCAATAGCAAAGGCTAGAAAAATTATCATGCCTAGGAGTCTAAGTGACAACTCAAACCTTACTATCAAGTACCTGTTGAAATCCTGCCTACTGCCTCATCTTAACATATCCTATATAATAAAAGCCTAGGTAGTGCCGCGGGACGTTGTCACAAGATGGCTGTCACAAGATGGAAGTCACAAGATGGCTGGCAGTGGAGGGCAGTTGAAGGTGATGAGGCCGGCAGGTGGGCATTTGGGGGCAAACAGGCCAGCAGGAGAGGGCAGTTAGGGGTGACCAAGCCTTCAGGGGAGGGTGTTAGGGGTGACCAGGCCTGCAGGGGAGAGCAATTGGAGCTGACCAGGCCTGTAGGGCAGTTTGGGGTGATTGGGCCAGCAGGGGAGTGCAGTTTGGGGTGTCAGTTAGGTGTCAATCAGGTTGACAGGGGAGCGGTTAGGGTGCAATCAGGCTGGCAGGTAGAAGTGGTTAGGGGCAACTAGGAAGGCAGGCAGGCAGGCGGATAGGATCCAGCAGTCCCGGACTGTGAGAGGGATGTCCGACTGCCAGTTTACCCATATTGGAGAGGGTGCAGGCTGGGCTGAGGGACCACCCCACCCCTCCATGCATGAATTTCAAGGACCGGGCATCTAGTTAAAAAATAAAATGGAACTTTACTGTTTTCTCTCTACTTTTTCACAAGTTGTGGATATTAAGAATTAATAATGACTTCTGAATCACTTAAAATTTCTAACACTTATATGCATTAATGGGAACTGCTCCATCTATGTGGCACAGAAATGGGACAATCTGATGAAATGCAATTTGAATAGAACTCTTAACCAAGGCTTTAGTAGAAAAATGGAGTATTCTAACTATAGAAGTAACCAAAAATATTCTCTGAATTAATATTTTTAACTTCATTGAATTAAAACTTTAATTTTGATTTACACTTTAAATATAAGTTCTAAGTTCTAATTTTGAGTTAGTGTCAGATTTCTGAATTGACCACAATTCCATTTCCTTTCCCCTTCCTTTCAGAGATATGTCATTAAAATTAAAGGCATAAAAAAGCTACCCAAAGTATAAGAACAAAACAGAGGAAGCACACTTTAGTGTCTAAAGAGAGTTACTGGAATAGGGGTAAGAAAGCCAGTTTGTCTTACAGAACCCAAGGCAGGCTCAGAATGCAGACCCCAAATTCTTGCAGTGTAGCCCTGAGAGTTAAAAGTTCCTGCTCACGGGAGAACCAAGATGGCGGCATAGGTGAACGCTTGTATTTGCTGCCTCCCACAACTACATCAAAATTACAACTAAAAGACAAAATGGATATCATCCAGAACCATTGGAAGGCTGGTTGAGTGGAAGTCCGACAACTAGAGGGAAAGAGAAAAGCACATCTAGACTGGTAGGAGATGCAGGGGTGCGGAAGAGCAGAGGTACGGAGGCACATGAAATGGGCTGGCAACTGGGTATGCTGTTGTCTTTTTCAATTGGGAGGGAGATACAAACTCCCGAATGCTCTGAAATCCAATGCTGGGCCAGAATCTGGGGACCCACACTCATACGAGGAGAACCCGGATTGTCTGGCATCAGGCCGGAACACGAGGGCGGGTTTCTCACAGAGGTGCTTGCAGTGATCATTCTTCCTGCACGAAGCCGTGGGACAAAAAGACCCAGGAACCTAATGGGTCAGGACTGATGGGCAACCATTGCTGTTTGCACCACCCTGTGATTCCCTGAGACCACACTCCACCCAATTTATAACCTCACCCAAGCTGTGCACAGAGGCTTTTGCATATGAATGGCCTGACCTTTTGCAACTTAACCTAACAAACTGCAACTGGGTCAAAGAACCCCAGATATTCCAAAAGAAGGCCTAAGGCTCCTTAGCAGCCTGCACTGCTTCACAGCTGCACTCCATGTGGGAACCTCCAAACCCCAAACAAAGAGGAGGAATCTGCAGATCTCATTGTAGCTCCTGCTGGCTGGCCTCAGGCAGTGGCTGACTTTGCACCTCCTTGGAAATCCAAGAGCCAGTGTACGCAGTGGTCAAAGTGAGATCACACCAGATTAAACCCCACAGATTCATAAGAGACACACTCAGGGAGCAGACTCAGTGAGCATCAAAGCCTCACTGAAGCAAGTCCTGCCTCATAAGGTTGTCTCCAGTACAGCAGTTCTCCCATTGTACACCCAACTGGTCATCACAGTCGACTGGCCTGGAGGTCAATTCCTTCCAGTGATACCAACAACAGTCAAGGCTTCACTAGAACAAATCTGTACACAAAGCCCACAAAGGGGTGCATCAAGAGCGTCGACCACAGGTGAGTGGGGTGCTGAGCCACTGGGCCCTATAGGACACCTGGCACACAAAACCACTCTATCAACACAGGGAAGCAGCCAAAATGCAAAGACAAAGAAACGTGTCACAAATGAAAGAAATGGAGGAGAGAAAACTACTGGATACAGAGTTCAAAACCATGGTTATAAGGTTACTCAAGAATCATCTAGAAACCTCTGAGAAATTTAGAGAGACCATTAAGGATATGAAACAGGACCAATTAGAAATTAAGCATACACTGACTGAAATAAAGAATAATATAGAGAGATCCAACAGCACACTAGAGGATCCCAAGAGTCAAGTCAAAGATTTGAAATATGAAGAAGCTAAAAACACCCAACCCATAAAGTAAAAAGCAAAAAGAATAAAAAATATAAAGATAGTGTAAGGAGCCTCTGGGATAACTTCAGATATACCAACATCTGAATTATGGGGTTGCCAGAAGAAGAGAGAGAGCAAGATATTGGAAACCTATTTGAAGAAACAATGACAGAAAACTTCCCCTACCTGGTGAAAGAAATACACTTACAAGACCAGGATGCTCAGAGAACCCCAAACAAGAGGAATCCAAAGAGGACCACACCAAGACACATCATAATTAAAATGCCAAGAGCAAAAGGCAAAGAGAGAATCTTAAAAGCAACAAGAGAAAAATAGCTGGTTACCTACAAGAGAGTACCCATACAACTGTCAGCTGATTTCTCAACAGAAACTATACAGACCAGAAGAGAGTGGCAAGAAATATTCAAAGTGATGAATAGCAAGAACCTACAACCAAGATTACCCAGCAAAGGTATGATTTAGCATTGAGGGACAGATAAAGAGCATCACAGATAAGAAAAAGCTAAAGGAGTTCATCACCCCCAAACCAGTATTATACAAAATGCTGAAGGGTATTCTTTAAGAAGAGGAGGAAGAAGAAAAAGGTAAA